AGACAAGATTCAACTTAGCCTACGCTTGATTACCCTCGCCCGTGATTGCGTGTCATCTTCTTAATACCACCCGACGTACTTGTACCCTCAGCCACTCATACGTTCAAGCATATTCAAAACACCTCCATTCCTTCCTTCCGTCCATGCAGTCCTGTGCACATATTAGTGTATCCTGGTAACCACCCTTTCTTGTCCCAGAACGAGAACGACAGTACGATGCTGATTGCTTGGTGAACTTTCTGACTATACTCACGTATGTCATAAACAGGTTACGCCTAGTCCAACCGAGTCTCGTCTGGTTACTACCTAGGGTTCAAGTCTCACATGCGGTGGGGTAGCGACCTGGGTTTTCAGGCTGGATCAGTTGAAGATTGATGAAGGAGGATTTATGGGACCCTGATCCCAAACAACATTCAAGAAAACATTCTTACGTGAACATCATTAATCATAGAGTGAAGAAGAGTTAAGAAGTGTTGAAGGGACAAGCGTCATCCTCGGAAACCGGGCACCCCTCAATCAAGAGAGATTTGGCATATTCGGCACACTCTTTAGCTAGGTGGGCAAAACGTTACCTCGTTGGCATTGCGCTCAGGGTTTATGGTGTTATAACCATCAGATGTAGTTTGAAAACACGTATCCGTTTCTTTTGGGGCAGCATAGCGGCTGCCATCGCTGTTTACCCAAATGAACCATTAACTTTTGGTTCTCTCCTGTTTACAGAGCCGGTTTGTGACTGAGTGCCACCGTTTCCCCCTGCGACCCGTATGATTTAGGGCGCGCCTTACCGTCGTCGCCGCCTATCTCTCTCGTTTGGGGGTGTGATGGTTTCCTTCGGATCGTCTTGTATAGACTGGCTGATAAGATGTAAAGGTTTCTTGATGAAATAGAGAAGGCGGAGAGGAAAATTTGATGGTGCAGAGGACACGGGAGAGAGGTGAAAACGTGTAGCAGACTCCTTCATATTCCCTGAAGCCGTACTTCCAAATGCTTTAGTTCACCTGCACTGGAGTACTGACCCTGAGCATGTGTCCGCCTAAGCTCGGTTGTCCGCCTACCCTGTATAATAGCACTTTTGTGGTTGCCGCACACTCAGCAGTCTACTTTCTATCCACCAGGGACATTCAGGTCTTCTCCAATACACACAAGTGTATACACACGGACCTGCACGCATGCCTACATCATTTGTCCTGTTTGGCCTCTTTTTATACAGCTTTCGGAAAAAGTTCCATCCACATTGCGTCCAAGCAACCCTTGAACTCCCTAACTGAGTCTGCTAAAATAACAGAGGCTGGTAGCTTGTTCCAAGGGTTTAACACTATGGCGAGCAAAAAAAGAGGTTAGACGGTTATTTCTTGACGGTGTAGCATTTCAGGTCAGGTCCGGTCAGGTCAGGTGGCACAGGCCGAGCGTCCAGATTCTTGCTCCAGCCGGAGCCACGTTCCTCCGGAGCTTCGACTTCTTGTCGACCGCTTGACCGCAGCCGATCTCCTCGTTTGAAACGACCTCCCTTATGGGGTCTGTATCTGAAATGGGAGGTTATTCGAGAATAGGCAACATGGAATAGCTACGCTCAATAGTAGGTATTCTACCAAATCTCGGGATAGGAGCTGATGCAGACCCCATCTAATTGCTTTTGAGCTCCTCAACAGTCCTACAGTCTAGTAGTGAAGATGGTAGTTGGTTCCACTCATCTATCACTCTACGTGTGAAGAAGTTATGTCTAAGGTTGATTAGGCTCCTGGGATTCATTAGCTTCAGATGATGCCCCCTTGTTGATTCGAGCGGTGCTTGAGTAAACAGGCTTTCCGCCTGTAGCCCAGTCGGCCCTTCATTATTTTGAAGGTCTCAATAATATCGCCTCCCAGCCTTCTCCTCTCCATGGAGAAAAGCCCTAGAGATTCCAACCTCTCCCTATTTGACTTACCCCTCATCCCCGCGATCATCCTAGTAGCTATCGTTGAACCCTCTCAATGACAATGATATCCTTCTTCATGTAAGGCTCCCAAGCCTGCACGCAGTATTCTAACTGCTGTCTAACCATGGCCTTATATAGAGGTAGGAAAACCTCAGTCTTCTTCGAAGATAGGGCCGCCTTAAGCTGAAACAATTTCCCCCTCGCTTTTTGTGCGGCGGCCAGGCATTGATCACAGGGCTTAAAATCCTCGCGGACCAAAATTCCCAGATCCAGCATTTGGTCTACGAGAACGAAGACCGTCGGTTCAGTGGTAGTAGTCAAGCAAACCGGAAGCCCTACGGTATTTAGAAAGTGACACTTGGTGGCGTTTAGCTCCAAGTCCCACTTCTGTGTCCACCGGACCACCTTAGCCAGATCACCCTCCAGTTGCTCTACAGGTCCTGAGTTCACTAGTTTGACGTCGTCGGCAAAGATGAAGGCAGGAATCGCTAACTCCTGGACCAAGTCATTTATAAACAGCAGGAAGAGCATTGGGCCTAGCACTGAGCTCTGAGTCACTCCGCTGGATACGCTGCCAACGTTGGACAGATCTTCTCCCACTCGAACTCTATAGGTAGGGTTGGGGAGGGAAGCTTCTATCCATCTAACTAGAGCTGTTGGAAGACCAAAGCCCTGAGTTTTACTAGCAGGAGCCGGTGATTTACAGAGTAGAAAGCTTTCCTGAAGTCTAGGTAGCACACTTCGAATTTCTGACCTCCATCTAACCTTTTTGTAACTTCGTCTAAGAAACAAAGAAGGTTGCTCAAATACAGCCTTTTTTGAGGAAGCCGCGATGGGCGGGGCTAATCAACATATACCGATTAACGTGCTCACAGAGATCATTCCTAACAATGGTTTCTAAGCCCTTACACAGCACGCTGGTCAGACTTACGGGTCTGTATTTACCAGGTTGCTTCCTATCTCCACTCTTGTGGTAGGCTACCACTTTGGCAGTCGCCCAATCACTAGGTACTCTCCCAGCCCTCAAGGACTCCTGGTAGAATGCGCTCATCGCAGGGGCGAGCACAGGAGCTAGTAGTTTGATGACGGCCGGATGTAGCCCATCGNGGACTTGCTTATATTCAAGTCCTCCATGACATCGAGAACACTACTAACTTAAACTTCCACTGCACTTATTGGAGGGGTGTCTAAAACCTCTCGAGGGACCGCACGCCCATCGTCTATTTTATAGACGGTTTCGAAATACCTCCTGAGCGTCTCACAATTTTCGTATTCTGAGAGAGACAGCCTACCTCCAGGGTTCTCTAGAGTGCCTACCGATTGTCTTAGTACAGTCTTAGATTTCACACAGTCATTGTACCTCTTGGGTTCCTGGCGAGCTCTCTTGGCGATTTTAACCTCGAAGGTCATTTTCGCCTGTTTTACTAGCTTGTTTGCATAGTTTCTCGTCTTCTTATATTGGAGCCATTGTTTATTTCCTCCTGAGAGGACAAATGCATTCCACCTACGAGTCCTTTCCTCTAGGACGCGTTTGATGGCCGGCTTCCACCACTGCGGTTCTTAGGTATCCCTTGAGGCTGCAAGGGAGCATGTCTCTCCGTCAGCTCTAGTAGCTGGTCGCGGATTATTCCCCATCGTTGATCGACGGACGCTTCTGTTCCCTGTGGGAACCATGCTCTGGCTTGGGCATCTCGCTTCAAGTCCTCTACGTTCATTCGCCCGAAATTGCGGCACCACCTGCAGGGTGGCTTTTCCTTCGCAATGCATGTTTCTAGCAGCAGTACATTGTGATGACTTTTACCGAGAGGAACCTCCTGTCTTAGGTCGCTGATCTCANTCCACGGTAGACGGTCTCTGCCCTAGCCGGATACGCGTTGGTTCTTTCACGTGTGGTAGAGCGATGCCGCATGGAAGCAGTTCATTAATTCATGTTTTACTTGCCCCCCACCCTCGTCTTCGTACTGCCATTCTATTCCGGGGAGATTAAAATCCCTCGCTATAATCGAAGAGTGCTTTCCCCTACCGACAGTGGTGATGAGATTTATTAGCGCTCTATCATCCTCCGGTATGGAGTTTGGTGATCTGTAGACACAATGTGCAAAAGTGTCGGCCTCCGTTTCTTACAATGCAGCCT